AGTGAAAACAGTATGTGAAGAAGTTTTCGAGTTCCACGATTTTGAGTAGATTTTAGAAAATTGTTATAACTTGCTCTACCATGTACGTCATTTCATAAAAATTAAACACAAACATATTCGTTTATTGAAATATATCGTTTTGTCAAGAATTGAACGGAGAATCTCCTTATAGAAAGCTTAATCCATGCGACTGGGGAAAAAAGACAAAAGTAAAAAAATCTAAATGGTGTCAGTATTTATGTTGCGCCCGTTATTAGTAGAGCACTACTTACATCTCCGAACATGCATATATATCAAGATTTTTCAGCATTGGGCAATTAGTAGTATTTCAAAAAGCGTTGGGCAACAACTTTTGAATTATTGGGCAATTGCCCAATGGCTTTACCTCTGGCTACGCCACTGTTACATAACCTTTGTTTGGCATGACTTGAAATGACATTTACGACAGGAGAAAATTTAATTTTTCTCATTTATCTAATGTCAGAGAACATTCCAGTATGTTACAATTCAGACATTAAAATTACATTCACCTTTACGGGTGAACTAATCTTCCTTTTTGGCTTGATGAATACAATGCAAACATGAGATTTTTTTTTCGTATTACGTCAATTCATGTAAAAATTGTTTTGAATGGAAGAGTACTTCAAAATCTCTTTTGATATTGAAGTATACAATCATTTTTTGCTCTAATAAAGCATATCGATTCCAACAACTCATCATTAACTGACATTGTTGACTATTTATGTCATGATTAGCTGCATGATTATGAATGACTCTATCCTTCATTGTTTTCTATGTCTTCCTGTTGATATGGTATCATTTATTTTTCTACATTGGCTTATCTTGTTATCTTTCCCTCTTCAATACTATAAGTGAATGTTGCATCANTATTGAATGTCTTGTTTGGCTTTTGTGCTTCTTTCACCGCAAATAAACATTCCTCATGTGCCAAATTTCGAATTTTTTAATGGTTTCTAGTATTTAATCAATTTAAAACAAAAAACTTAAAGAAATAAAAAAGCTGAATATGAGTAACGAAGTATCTAAGAACAGTATATGTGATAAAAATATTATCTTTTTTTAATGTCCTTTTAAAGTGTAAAATAAATGATATAGTCAGCGGGCGAAACTTTTGTCGTCGACTAAATAGATCCGTTTGTGGAGAAAATTTCACGTTCACCTACCATCACTCGATTTGTTCGTATATACCATGCCAGAGGCTAAAATTTCAATAATATGCCTATAACTCTCCATAGAAGATCTAAGGAGACTTATCCTTTTGAACCTTTTTATGTTTCACTATGATGTATCTTCTGCACAGAGTTCGAATTCAAAAGCTGTTGATCAATTGAAAACGTTCCCTCGTTAGTATTGATAAAATGTTCTTTATTACATTCTATAAATGGCGCGGAATGAAAGTTAACAAAAACGAAATATCAAAGGGAGAATGCCTTTATCTTTCTTATCAAATGAAAATAATACCCAGACATTTAACATAACAAAAACCACTACAATCAAATTAACAACATCAACAATAGTAGATAATGAAAATATATGGCATGATATTAAAGTAATAAAAAAAAACGTATTTTCTACAAAAATTAAAAATTAATATTTAACTTTAGTCATTTTTTAATCTTCAAAATTCATTAATTCTACTTTCAATAATTTCAATAATATTTTTCTTTTTTTCATTATGTCTTATTTTTATTCTAATACAATTAATGAAAAAAAAACGTCTATATAAAAGACAAATTAAATCGCAAATAAATAATTATAAGAATATTAATTTTCCATTTCAAACAAAAAAATCTTCATCTCCAATTCAAATGGGTTTAACATCAAATCAAATAGCATCACATGGAAATATTATTTCAATAAATAAAGATTCTCCATCAACTACTAATCATATACAAAATGAAAATAGACGCATATGGAATGAAACATCAAATACAATAAATCCATCGACAACAAATAATGATGAAATTGAAACAGTTAATGAAGTTCTTGGAATGGAAGAACGTAATGGAAAAATGTATTATAAAGTTAATTTTACTGGTCATTCACCTGATTATACAGCTTGGGTTTGTGAAGATGATTTAATACCTGAATAATGACATTGACGTTTTATTTTTATTTTTTGTTCTCAAAGTTTTTTTTCTTCTTGAAATTGATCTCCAACTGTGTGTGTGAGAGAGAGAGAATTATAAGAGAAATAGAATGACATTGACAAATATGAATTTTATTGTAACAGAAATAATGTTACATAAACGCAGATTTTTTTTGAAATGGATATCAATTATTATAGCATATATGTGCATTTTTTTACTCAGTTATGAATATGGTACAAACAGAAGACATAATTATGTGGAAGAAGTAACAACTGAACCACGTCATTTAGCTATTAAACGACTTTTTCATGATCATGTAGAATATCTTAATTCATCTATGATTTTAAAAATGATTAAAAAAGAATTGAAACATGTATTACCTTTTGAGATGAATAATACCAACAATAAAACTTCAGTTATTCGTCATGGTCTTGTTGTTTTCTATGATTTTTCAAATCATCATATACTTTTTCAACAATTTTTATGGTTATATTCATCATGGATTCAATTACATCAGCATAGTCATATTCGAAATGATCTTATTTTATTTATTTCTTCATCAACAATACCAGATAATTTTAAAAAACTTCAAAATATAACTAAAAAATTAAATAATAAAAATCAATTTATTATTTATCCATGCGTAACATTAATTGATTCAATATTAAATAAAAATTATGAAATATTAAATGATTTTTCAATATATTTTCGTATGGAACTTGCACGTTTATTTTATTGGCAACAAACACGTCTTTCATCATTATTATTATTTCTTATTAATGAATATAAAAATAAATTATTAATTTATGATTATATATTTCGTTTAGATATTGATTCATTTTTAATGTCAAATTTTCATTTTTATCAACAAACATCATCATTTATACTTGGTGAATCAATACCTTATGATCAATATACATTAAATAGATTAGAACGAATAAAAAAATATTTTTATTCCAAATCAAAATCAAAAATAATCAAACAATCAATAACAATAAGTTGGTTTGGTCGATTAAATTTAATACGTAAATTAACACGTCAAATAATATTAATGGCTGTATGGTTAATTAAAGAAGAATTTACTGAATCTGAACGTTTACATCATTTAACTTATTTAAATTATCCATCATGGTATATTGATGGAATATTTGAATATGCAACAGCTATTATTCTTTCTCTTAATCAATATGAAAAATTTTATCAAAAAACTTTTCATCAATTTGATTGTCATCATTTATTAACTAATTGTCTTCATATATCTTTTCGTGATCCATCACATCATTTACATTTATCTAAACATTCACTTCATCTATTAACAAATATAAATCAAAGTAATTTAACAAATAATGAATTATATATATATAGAACTGTTACTAAATCGAATGGAATATTTCGATTATATTTTTCATAGTTTAGATTGTATACATTTTTTCTTTCATAATAAAAAATCTTCTTTGAAAAAAAAAAATGTTTCGTTACGGGTAGTACGTGATTTGGTGCCTTTCTAATAGTTCGATTATTATTCATAAAGTAAAAGAAGATGATAAACTTTTACTTATCTTCATGCTTAGTCACATTCATGAATGGGCATTAGTTGACTAGAACTCATATTATTATTTGACTTAAAATAAATAATGTAAGTTCAGTCCTGTTTTGTCAACTAATTAAGATCAATTAGAGAAACTTTCTGAAAAAGAATACAATTGGACAAGAACGGGTGTAGATACTAGTCTCCACTGAACTTGCATTCATGCTCATAATCTCAGCCACACGCATAGCAACGCACCGCCTTATTTTTCGCAGCCGGACTCAAATCGGAGCTGACGACATTCAACAGATACGTTTACAGTCCAAGTACAGTTTTCAAATCTTTATTGTATATGAAAAAGTATACTATTTAGTTTGTTTCATAAACAGCAACAAAAAAACAAGTGAATAAAGTGATGCAGAATTCAGTAATATAGTGTCGGTGTCAAACGTCATAATTGTAGACACATACATGAGTGCTTTTTTTCCATTACGATAATGCATATTTACCTTTTCCATAATTCATTTTCTTTTCCATGCATTCAGTTACTTCGTCATATGGTTCAACATTATCAGTAGATGAATATTCATTAAAAAAAGAAATTCTTTTAGTCAAACAATATCATTTTTTACTTCTGTGAGCTGCTCTCAAGTACAATAAATTACTCAATCATGATCGAATTAATTTTCTCGTCTATGATTTAATATAAATAGTAGTCTGAAAGAGTAAAAATATTTTGAAACATCGGTATCTCATTAATTGCCGGCCCGAGTGCGTATATCAGATTAAATCCGAACCCATCCAACTGGGTTTCAGGCCACTACATCACACCTAAAACCTATATTGAATATAATAATAAATCGTTAGGATTGATACTATTAGAACCAAACTGAGATATTATTGAATAGGACTGAATCGAGGTAAATCTTTCGCCTCAAATAGAGAAATGCGAAAACTAATATACAAAATAATTTCATTAACTAAAAGAAAACCATAGCTTAACTCAACTATGTAAACATGAGCAAAATTAAATTGTTAGAATTCTTGCCTTTCGACACAAACGAATCAATAGTAAATACTATGTGTATTTGAAATCCATAGTATATGATAAAAACATACAATTGTTATTTATCTAATATCGTTTCCTTTTTTTCGAAATTTATTACAGTAAAATTGTAGAATCTTATTCACGTGAATGCATAAAACAAATATTCTTCGATGTAAATAACACTAAAGAATTCAATCGGAATATTCGAAGTTTTGAAAAAAGTTTATTCGTTTATATTTGTTAAACAAAACAAAAACGAAAAAAAAGAAAATATGAAAAGAAAAACAACAATCACAAATGAAACTGTATTCATCTAACGAGGAATAACTTCATATGAAATTGGTATTGAAGTAACGGAGAAAGATTGGAGAAATCTCTGCAACAAAAGAATACTTTAAAATAAAAATTTAATTTTTTTTTTTTCGTTTACCTGATCTGATACAGATCGAAGTTGAATACGTAATCGACGTAGACATTTTAGGTTGTTTTCACATAGATGTATCACAAATTTAATATGATCACATAATTGATTGCTTTTGATTTTTAATGATGACTTTACTGTTTGAATGAGCTTAATATACTGTAAAAAAGGTGCTATTTGAAATAATAATGTAAAGAACTCCAATGATTGATCAGTTGATATACAAAGTGATCGTAATGAATATAGTAAGCAAGAATATCGTAATTCACATTTATAAGGTTCAGATATTGATTGTGAGAGATCCTAAAAATACAAAAGAATTCAATTTTAAATTGTTAAAGGTACATCCGCTTTTTGTTTGATTATTTCTGGTTGTCGAACAAGCTACAAGCGATTCACCCCGAAAATTTTTCACATAGATAGAACACTGAAAAATAAGGAGATAGATGTTCGGCAAAAAAACAATTTTAAATAAGCCTTTTTCGGAAAAATCTTAGCTTTCCATAGGATCTAATCGAGCATACTTACAACCTCCCTCTAAGTTTGTCGAATTGGATTAAAATTTTTACCGTCAATACGTCAGTACTCTGGTTTTCAACTCTAACCTTTACATATTCCTCTCATAAGAAAAAAAAAAGAAAATTTTTGAAAAATTTTAAAATCGCTACTCAGATATAGGTCAAGGTCTCTTCAAAAAATGTTCAGCCTGATCGAACAAAGTAAGTGGGAGATCGTAGGCAGGTTCAATATAGTCCTACAGAAAGCTAACTTTTTCCCAAAAAAAGATCTTGTTAAAAGTTTTTTCCTCGAACATATGTATGCTTATTTTAGGTGTTCTATCTGTGGTAAAAATTTCACGCGGATCGGTTATATTTTCTTCGAGAACTAGAAATGGCCCTACAGTAATAGACATAAGATTTAACATTGTTCATATTAAATAGCATTTTCATAAATTTGTATAATGTCTTAACAGTAGATGAAGTTAAAGTATCTACAATTTCACTGATTGATTTTATAACTAAAGTAGTACTGCAAAAAACAATTTAATCAAATTCGAATTTACCTTACAAATAGTGACACACTTTTACGTGACTGATTATAGAGAAACAAGACGAAATTAGATTAGTTTCCATGATTTTTCAAAGTTATATAAAAGATATCTCGTTGTAATAGACAAAATGGTTTATTATTAATTTATAATCATGCCTAACATCAGAAATGGGTTTTTCATGATCGGCACCGATCTGCATAGGCCTGACCAGACCGACCGGTCTGAAATCCATAGAGACACAGGACTGACAATTCGTTGCACTATTCTATCTGTGAATAGTGATATTTGATGTAGTCAATTTTCAACAAAGTCTTATTATACATCCTCTTTGAGATAATAAGAGCAAGAAAATAAACAAAGACACACCGGTAATGATTGGTCTACCGGCGACTAGTCAGTCTGAAATTGTATTGTTAAATGGGTCCAAAAATTTTGAACTCGCAAGTTTTTACTCTTGACTACATAAGACACAAATCAAGCATAAAAAAATATTTATCTCAAATGATTTTGACTGAAATTTTGTGTCTAAATAAGTTTTGATATCCAAATTGACCCTCCATAGGATACCTTTGAATTTTATTTTATTTTAAAATTCATTCAAATTTTCTATTTTTTCTCCATAAGATGAATGTATTATCTTAGATAAAAGAAAAGTTCTATTCTATAAATAATCTCCATACCAATTTACGAATATCAATCTTTTGAAAATAATTTAATGCTCGATCAACATATCGACTTAACTTTAACAAACATACATAATTCCACTGAAAGGAAAAAAAAACAGAAAATATTTTTATCATAGACAAAAAAACCGTTATAATTTACCGATGTTGAACGATCAACGAATGTTTTCCATTTCTTTGATACTAATCGACAGCTAAAAGTAAGGTTCCTTTACACACAAATTTCAATTTAATAATCTTCATTTACTTTAATCTCGTTGATATATCAGTAGAATCAATAATTTTCTGAAGTATGTGTTCATATTTATTCGTATTAAAAAAATCTATTATCTCATCAGTATCATCAAGTTTTTTAATAAATACATCAATATCATTTTGAGGTACTCCAGAACATTTTAAGAACTCTAAATCTGCTTGTACATAATAAGGAAGTACTTTTCGTTTTTTCACTGTCTTTACAGTTTCTTCAGTATCATGTTTTCTTTTATTATTTTCACATGAAAATGTTGTTCGAGTATAAACGGCTGATTTATCAGCAAATATAATTATATCATAAAGTGATGGATCAACATGGCATGTACTTGTTACATCTATAACTGATAATGGATTTGAACCAAAGATTTTTTTAATGATAGCTGATGGTAATTCTAATACACAAGAATGAATTCAATAAAAAGAGTTTGCTTTTAATTATTTACCTAAACCTAATTCACGATTTTTCGACTGTTCAATTATATTTCGATGAAATAAAAAATAGCGATTATATATTTTCACTGTTAAATATTGACGAGTATTTATGCAATTTTGAACTAGTTCATATTGATTATTTGACATTATAGAGAAAAAAAGGTTTTTCTTTTTTTTTTTTTAATTTGAAATAAGATTAGCAATCAAATCTGATGTTTGTATTATTTGTGTTTAATTGAGCGAAGAATTGTGCAATTGAGAAGATACTTACAGCGTCATCTATAGGAAAGAAAGAGAATTTTATTTTATTTTTGAAAGTTTATTAAGTAGAATTGAGATTATCTCAACAGAAATATCTAATAAATGATCAAATAAGATAAGTTTTAAAAAGTATGTTTTTCAATCTTCTCATTGGTCATTTATTGGTTTTTTCGAAAACTTTTCTCCCCGGTTAGGCCCCGAACAGACTGAAAAAAATAAAACAAATTAAGCAATGTAATTGGTCTATTTCGATTTAAATCGTCTTTTTGAGACGATTTATTCGTTAATTCAGTTTAAATTCACTTTGAATTAGTCAGTCTGTTCGGGGCCTTAGAGGGCAATATATCTTTTGAAACTACTGATTGTGATTGTCTAGTAAATGGAAAAGGTAATGGAATTCGACTGGCTATTTCTTGCCAAAGAATACACTGAAAGAATGTTGTTAAAACTGGCATCACATATATAATAAGTTGAAATCATCTTTCAAGTCAAGGTTATACTAAAGTTCAATCAGATAATAAGATCTGGGTTTTATCCAGTATGAAAGCTAAGTGGATGGTACTTTTTCGAAAATCGGTTTGATCTTTCCTAAGTTTGAAAGCGCTCTTTCTCGGAAATAAAAATAGCATAAAACACTGAATACAATTCAAGACGGTGATCTCATAACGGAAGAGAGTTTTCTTCAATCTTGGAAATTTAATTTTCACATACTGAGATAAGACTGATTATAAAACAAGTTCGAATAAATACTGAAATTAGTTATCGCATCATAATTTTGTTCGTACAAAATCATAGAACAATGCTAGCTAGATCAATGATAAATAGCACGCATCAAGAGATCTGAACTATAGCCCATATGCGTCTCCGTCCCGAAAGGATTATAATACCTATTGTAATAAGTTTTTTATTGTGTATTAGTGAACAACGCCAGTATTAGAGCCCTTCGAGTCTGGAAGAGAGATGTGCGAAGCGGAGTTCTGTTGGCTCCGATCTCGACAACTTCTATTCTAGCAGTCCGAGTCTTACTCTAGAGAAAACTATTCCGGAATTTATTCGTATCACATCAAAAACAATTCTTCAATACTTGACTTTTTTTTATTTATTTAGTTGATGATTAGGACTTTTTTTGGATCATCGCTCGTGAATGATGTTCTAGTTCATATGATTAATAATATAATTTGCTTCACATCGTACATCTCTAATCCACGATCTATCCGACGGACTTCATTCAACATCAACCTTGATGTGAATTATTTGTTGACCAACTATTTTATGCTAAAATTTTCTTATTTTTATTAGCTGTATTAAAGCAAAATACAAATCATTTTTGAATAAAATTTATTTTTTAGAAATAAATTAGAATCCTATGGAACAAATTTTTTTTCGAATCTTGCATGTTCCGTCGGACTCTAGAACAAATACTATTCAATAAATCCTTACTGGACTTATTTCTTTGTCTGTTGTAATCACTACTACAAATGTTTCTTTAATCATTTCAAAGCTACTTAGTCATGAATCATGTTTTTGTTTGTTTTACTTTTTTAACTAAATAATTTTCTTTTTAGATAATAACAGTCAATGAAATCGGTTCAAAATTCTAATATAACATATCCACCAACAATTGGTGATGATTGTTTGAAAATTTTTCTTAGCAATCTTGATGGTCGTATAAATACTCACGATTTACATCAATTTTTTAGTCCATTTGGTAAAATAGAACATATTGAATCATGGACACCAAAATCTGCAATAATTCTTTATTCTAATATTGATTCAATTGATCGTGCTCTATCAAAACATCGAAAATGTATTATTAATAAACAAGAAATTTTTATTCGTCGTTTTCGTTATGGATATATCGAACGTGCATATATGGATTCAAATATTTTATTTATAAAACCAATAATTAATGATTTATTAATAAAATGGAGTGAAACAACAATCCGTAATTGTTTTCATGAATATGAAAAAAATATTGAAAAAATTCGAATTGTATCAAAAACATTGCATGCATTTATTTATTTTAAAGATTATGATATAGTTGATAGAATTCTTCTTCAAACAGATATGTTTCATATAAATGGTATATCAATTGAAATGAAACGAGCAAAATCAAATGAAAAACATATAGAAGATAATGATAAATATATTGAAAAATTAGTAGAAAGAAATAAATTATTAAAAAAACAAATTGAACGTAATATTTAATTTTTTTTGAAATAAAATTTCTTTTCTTTTTTTCTATTTTAGGACAAAAAATTGATGCTCGTCATGAAATTAAATTTCTAAAACGTAAAATAAATAAATTAAAAAATGAAATTATTGATTTCAAATCTCAATATCGTTATTCGAATAATGATTATAAATATTAAATAAAAATACACAATGAAAGACAATATTTTTGTCGACGTTTGTTCTACTCGACATGTTGCTTCTTTTAGTGATATTATCAAATATTTCAATACATTTGTAATAAAGTTTCATTATAATAATTAAAAAAGAAAACTTTATTTAATTCTTTTCTTTTTCTTGCAGTTATTTTTCTAAACATTATAATTTGTCAATGCTAAAAGTCGGCTACTTATAGACATATTATAAATAGAATAGCGTCGGAATGTAAATGAGTTGCGTGTCTGTTTAACAAGTTTCAACGAAAAAAAAAGAGTCATTAACAATTTAATTAGGTGTTAATCATGTATAATAAAAATCACTGCGACTTGATTTTAAGATATAAACTGACATGAAAAGTTCTAGCTCTGATCGTAATATAATTGCATTTATTTGATAAGTAGTCACACAATCAGATATGGGGAGTCAGCACTAGAGCTCATCGAATTTAATGTTTTCAAATCTGAACCCAGTCAAACCGTACTTTGATACACTGAGTGAAAGTTTTTAATTGAAATAGGATAGTTGCCTAAAAGATACGAGACATTTCTCTCTAGTTTTTTGCAGTCGGTGAGTAATGTACTCCACCCATTTCTCAGATAATTAGAGCTCATTAGATTCGGAAACAACCTAATGGGTTCTACTCAGCACTTCTCCTTACAAGGCTTTGAATTTATCTACCAATACTTGAGTTTCAGTAAGAAAAAAAGATTTTTAGAGTTTCTCTAGAAGAGTTACCAGACAGTCTCTTGTGTCCTAAAAGTTTTTTTTTCTGGTTGCTACATTATTAATAAGATCAAATGATGTTTGATTATATTGAAATTCACTTCAAGTAGTGTCGAAATTCAAATGAGTCTCATAAGGGAACGTTTCCAAGTGTCGGATTTCTTTTTGATCGAAATTACATTCAGATGAGAGGTCGCGGTGAGTAGTGTTAAAGCTTAAGAAGGCTTGATTATCTGAACCTTTGTTCTTGAGGTATAAATTTTTTACTGTATTTTTTAATAGAAAGCTGTGGTATCCTTATTGTAAAAGTTTCACTGATTTTGGGTCTCCTACTCGGAAATATGAATACTGAAAAAGCTTTTTAATAAAAAAATGCAATCATTCTTCTTATGCTGATATCTCAGGATGAAAAACACTGAAATCAGTGAAACGTTCACAATGAGCTTATGTCATCGAGATCTGTATATGTGTAAAGTTTCAAGTTGAAACTCGAAATTCGATTTTCATGGTAACTTGACGGGTCCCTGCAACTTTCTGTTAAAAAATCTACTAAAAATTCGATATCTCAAGACCAAAAACTTAGACAACTGAATACTTGTAGTCTTTTACAGTATTCATCATAGTCTCTCACTTGAATATAATAGACTCGATCGAAAAGCAATCGAACACTTGGAGATGTTTCCTCGTCAGATAAATATGAAAAACGAAAGAATGAAAAATGAACGAAGAAAGATTAAGCTATATATGAATTAAAAATTGTTGATTCCGAATTTTTTAAGTAGAAGAAAATCAGATATTTTATTTACTGTTAATATATTTGAAGTAAATAATCGATTACCATTCGATAATATAGATGGAAACTTGAAAAGCCTTAACAAAATGCAGAGTGAAGGGGTACGGCAGACATTGTCTCGTTTTTAATATTCATGCTGAGTCCTAATAAATTTAGTTCGGTAAAGAGAATCTATTCATGCTTGTTCATGTATAAATTTGAAGAAAAGTGACTTTCTTTATAAAACTAGTCTCAAGTTATATTTTTTGTTGTTAAATAAAAACTTTATTTTAGTACCATAATCAGAAGACCCTGGGTGATATGGAAGTGCTCTACGATCTTGCGGGTAATTCACACAATATAGTGTTAATGATAGTAATTATTATATTATTGCTGGTTCTGAAGACGAAGCAGCGCCTAGCTTAGCCCATTAATAATTACTTCACTATTTTATGTCAGACTTTACAATTTAAGGAAAGACTAGATATATTTATGTCAAGAATACAATTCAAAATTTTGTTTCTAATTTGGATATTTGTATGTCGTTGATGAAATCTCATATTTTGTCTTTCATTTTGTGGTCAGTAAATTCCAGTAATGATAAAACAAGGATTATAATGCATACTGTACAATGATCTTGAGTTAAAGAAAAAAAAGCAAGTTTTAGTTCTATTATGAATAAATATGAGAAAATCTCTAATATAATTACAAAATAGTATCGGTAAGCATAATCTTTGAATCCGGATAAAGTTACTTTTCTCATGTGTCAAACATACGAGATGTGGGGCATGCAAACAACATTTCATCATTCTTGCGAAGTGTAGAATGAAAATCCATGAACTTTATAATATTTCAAATATATTCATGTAAATATATTTAAAAATTATATATAAAATGTCCTAATAATTATCTAAGTAAATTATTAATCTATACAAGCACTATACAACGTTTACTTCTTTGGTATTCATTAATTTTTTTCTTTAGGATTTTCTTTTGCGTTGCTTTTTTTCTTTTTAATGTTTAACAACTCTTTTTTTTTTCTTTTATCTATTTTTCTGATAATATGTCAGAAACAAGAGGATATGAGCGACAACTGATTCGTTCTATTCTTAGGTTTCATTTTTTTTGCGTTCATATTCATAATTAAAAGAAAGAAAAAATGCAACAAATTACATATATATCTTATCCAGCTACCGTTAACTCTCCGACATACTTCCTCGTTCTTCTTATAATACGAACATACTAAATAAAATGTCAATGTCATTGTTTGAAGCATGTAGAAATGGTGATAGTAATCAAGTGAAATTTTTAATCGATGAAAAAGTAAGAAGGTTATCTTTGTTCTTTTTCTTTACTTAAAATAAATTGTTTAGTATAATATCAATCAATTGGATGGACAAGGTCGTTCAGCACTTCATTATTGTTGTGATAATACAATTACAGATTGTGCTTGTCTTTTATTAAAAGATGATTTAATAAAAAATACTATTCTTAATTTACAAGATAATGAAGGTTGTTCAGCACTTCATTTAGGTATATTGAAAAATAAGATTTGAGAAAGTATCTATATAATATGAATTCTAGCTTGTATGAATGGTAATGAAATTATAGTGAAATTTTTATGTAAACAAGGTGCAAATGTTAAATTACTTGACAATGAATCGCGTTCTGTTATTCACTGGATAACAGGTAAATTTATTTCGAATGTAGAAAAAACAAAATGAATATTTTAATATTAGTCTGTGGACATCTTCATCTTTTTGATATTCTGATTAAATATAAAGCACCTATACATACACCTGATATTCATGGTGTTTTTCCTATTCATTGTGCATCACAATTATGTGGTGTTTCAGTAAATAAAGATTTAAAAATTGATTCAGAAAAAGGTAAAATAAAAATTTTTGAAATAATATTTTTAAATATTTTTGAAATTAGGTTTGGCTATTCTACAAAAATTCATTGATTATAGAGTGGACATTGATTGTATTGATGAACAACAACGTACACCATTTATGTGGGCGGCTAGTGCAGGTTATGAAAAGATTCATTTTCATTTTTTCTAAAGAAGATTTATGTTAACATTAAAAATAATAATAAGTCAAATGAATAACTAGACATTTTTATATCATAAGAAGACGATTTGATCATACATGAAACTTATAACTTATAGTCCATCTAGCATTGTAAGAATTCAATGTTTCATTTTCAGGTACTGTTGATCAATTACGTTTATTATATAAATACGGTGCCAACCAATTGCATGCCGATAAAGATTCTCTCACTGGTATAAATCAATAAATAATAAAATATTTTATTTTATATGTTTTTTTTTATTTAGCACTTCATTGTGCAGCGAATCGTGGTGATCTCTCTTGTATTCACATGTTAATAGAGCATTGCAAATGTCCAATAGAAGGTTGAATTAAGTTAATTGAAATATGTTTTTTTCTTATATTTAAAAGATTATTTAGGAGAAGATATTAATGGTTGTACAGCTTTATTTTATACTGTTATGTACAATCATTTTAATGCATGTCAATTATTACTTGATTTACAAGCAAATTCTAATCATAAAGATAAACGTGGTCGAGCGTATGTTTTAAATGAAAAATTTATTTTAAATTTTTCTTTTTTTGAATTTCATATAGACCAAGTCATTATGCAATATCCAATGGAAATCTTGATTGCTTAAAATGTTTAATTAAATCTAATGCTAATATATGGATAAAAAATAAACGTGGTGATTACCCAATACATGAAGTAATAAATACCATTTCACTTAATAAAATTCGTAATCAAACAATTGAATATTCACACATTTTCGGTAGAAAAAGAATTTTTTTGGGTTTTGATTAATTAAATTTTTTTTAGTTGTTATTCGATATATTTTTCACATCTATCCAAATAAAATTAATATTGAAAATGATGATAATCGAACTCCTCTTCATTTAGCAGCTAGTTTAGGTGATATTGATACATGTCAAGTTTTAATTGAATGTGGAGCACGAATTAATTCATTTACACGAAATTTAGCTGTAAGTAATATATATATATACAACAATATTAATGTTTTATTATTTAATTTAAAAATTCATCGATTAAAAATGAATCTTTATACAAGTCATATATAGAAAATATTTACTTTGAAATATGAATAAACAAAATTTAAATAGAAATAATTTCTTAATAAGAAAAAATTAATCATGAAAATAATAAAAGACAGTAGATTTAAAAAAATTCATAAGCTCATAAGTACAACAGACTTGACATCAGAATCAGCGACACAAACACAAGAAAAAACTTTGTAGAAAGAGTTCAACATGCTAACCATGTCATTACAGAGAAAGCAGAGATTCTCTGATAATGCTTCTAGATGAAACTCAACCTCTTTTTTAGACAGAATTCAACCGTTGTTAAAGAATGAGAAGGGCTCGAAGCAAGAGGAAAAAAAGGGAAATCTCAGTAATTCGAAGTTCAATTGATGTACGGTAGTGTACGAATGAAATACGATGCTTTACTCATATTTCGCAGTACTGAAGTATCGCTTTTTTTTCTCTTGGTTCGAAGTCACCTAGAAGAGGGCTTAACGAGGAAACTTCTTCAACTTCTCCTTTCCAATTTTAATGATTTTGTTTTCTATAGATATACTATATAATATTCTAATAAAAACTCCAACAAAAGATTTGGATTTGACTAAGATATTGATTTTTTTCTAGAAATCCCAGGTTTTCGGAAAACTCGTATTTTCAAAGTTTTATTTGAAATTTTGCATATATAGAAAACTCAACTAGACTATCTGCTCTAAAAGAATCCAGACATTTTGAATAAAGTCCCTTCGAAATATGAAACTTGCAACATATAGATCCTTATACCCATGGATAGTGTAAATAACGTGCATTTTTTGAAGGATTCATGTCTTGACGAGACTTTATTTAAAATTTCTGAATCTTTTTTGGAGAAGCTAATGTAGTTGAGTTTTCTATATGTGAAAAAGTTTTTGATCAAAATTCGATTGCTTAGTCAAATCTCAATAGTAATCGAAATCCACGTAGGATTCTTATTAGAACACTATGTAGTATCTATAAGCAAAAAGTCATTAAAGTCAGAAGGAAACAATTGACAAGATTCCCTCGGAAGCTTTCTCTATCTCACACCTGGTAACAACACTAATGAGGATGTCAGACAGGATTCATTTGTTCTGATTCATGAGCTATACAAGATGAAAACAGTATTGCAAAAGTCTTCTTTTTCAGTATAATTAAACCCGCATAGACGAGTATAGAGATAGAGAAGTCAAGTCAGACTTGGCTTCGATCATTAAAAATCTCTGGCTTGTTTATCTCTAGTTGAGTATTCGCAAATTGAACTTATTTTTCATCACTTGACACGAACAGATCTCAAGATGTGTACGTATTATATGAATCTCTTTTCGTATATAAGCATTTGAATGTTTGCATGAGTTGTTCGCACATTTAAAGCAGCTCGTATTCTAAACTCATGAAAATCAAACAAATGAGTATACCTGAAGCAGTCAACTGGAATGAAATGATAAAAGTTCGTCTGTTCAAGCTGAAAGAATGTTTCTTGCCATTACGCATGACTGAATCTATTCACTGATGTAGATTTGCTTCTTTCATCTGTGAATTTTTATTATGAGTCAAATAATTTTGAATGCAAAATTGAACAGAATAAAATGAATAGTACGTATGCCATATAATTAAAAATAATCTCATGCAAAATGTATATAGTTTTCAAAGTTGTGACCGACATGTGACAATGGTGGACTTTAATTATTAATCGTTTTTGATCACCGTTACAAGCACTTGAACTTATCAAAAGTTTTTAAGATGTGTCTATATCACAATGAGTTTCTTGTTCCAGATACTCAAGTATTTCAAGAATATGAGAAAAAAAGTTCGAGTAGGAATATAGAGCAGGAAGTCGAGAATATCATAGACAAAAGCAATCATTAAATAGAAAAATTCAAGATCTAAATAAGTTGCTGATTATTGCTGCTTAAAAAAGAATCTGTATGACCGAATGGCTAGTAGTCATAAACAATCAATTAGAAGATCATTTGCGGCAATTGAAGGATATCTCCTCCTTTCTGGAGTTTTCGGAGAACTGCTCAGTGAAATAATTTGAAATTTTCAGAGCAGATAGATCGTGACGCGTATAGCAAAAGTTATCATAGACTCAGAGTTCTCGGATGCTGTCTTCTTTGCGGTACTAGTATCATCATGGCTTTAATTTTTGCTCTTGTTTCTCCGAGATCTAGTAGGTGTCTTTTTATTTTTTGTCTTTTGAATAAAAAAAAGTCAAAATATTGAAAGCACGCTAAAAAACGCATGTCTTACATCTATTTTTTTAAAGAGCTACCAAAACTCAACTGAACAATATTTTTTAAAATAGAAAGAAAACACTCATCCCAAACAGTCTAAAGTATATGTGAAAAAGTGTCAGCTCGGTTGGACGCACTCAACCAGAGAAACGGGAGTGTTTCTCTACTCTATTCTCCTAACGATAATGATCATTTCTCATTTTAAATGTGCTGAGAGCATAGGTCAAACAAGCTCTTACACTGATACACACAACCAGTTTTCCACTACTTCCATTCTAGACAAAAAAAAGTCCTGCTACAGACAGGAAAACTTGTTTTTTTCTGTTTTTTCGAAAACAATTTTTACATGAAAGAAAATACAAAATGGTCTCCGTTTCTGCGGCATAGCATGTGCAATCGAGCTGAAACTTTTTCTTGCAGCTACAAGACACTGTTTGAGGTGCCTACTTTTTGTTTTCAGAACAATTACATCATTGATTTTTGGTAGATTTCACAAACAAACCTCTAGGAAAAAATCATATGTAGTTTTAGCGATACGCTCAGTATTTTGATTTCTTTTATCAAAAAAAACACCCAAAACTGGGCACACCAAAAACTCTAGTATCTGTAAAAAAAATGTATTTCGGAATTTGTAATCTATGACAAATTTTGCTCTACTTATTGAAATCTATTTATTCTGAAAGTTTTAAATATTTCTGATAAGTCACTCTTTAGAAATTCCGGAAATGCAATAGAAAGGTTTTCATAAAACGTTTATGTTCATTTAGAAAAGTACAAATTGATTTGAATGATATTTTTATTATAATTGTCTATTTAGGGTGATTATTTAACTCCATATGATCTTGCTCGTACTTGTCATCAAGATGCATGTGCAAAATATCTTGTTTATAAACATGGAGGTCAATGTGGTAATTTACTTGCTAACATTTTCGTTCGACGTATTCAAAAATGTTATCATCAATATAAATTACGAAAAAGTGTATTGATTATTGCAAAGGAAAACTCTAATTTTAAAATAAAAAATGATTCATTTAAGCAAACAATTGATTATCCATTAATCGCATCAACAAATTCAAGAACTAATTCATTAAAACAAGCAAAACCACGTATAGATGATAAAAATTGTTACCATCGTTCAAAATCTCATTCATTAACGGTTCAATCATTAATAACAAGTACTCCTAATTTAAATGAAAATCATGTACAAGAACGTCGTCTAAATTTTGCTAAATTAAAAACAGCAACATTATCGATAAATCAGAGTGATGAATCAAAGTAATTTAGTTTTTATCTTTTTTTTCTGAACGTGTTGTTTTTCTTCTAAAGATCCAACTCATCTAATAAAATTATTATACAAGCATCACATTCAGTTGCAACATATTCTAAATTATATGATCGACGTAAAATAATTGCTGAAGAATTGCATAAATTAAGACAAGCACGAATGAATAATAATTATGTAAGATATTATTAGAAACAAAATCAGTATGCAAAATTTATTTTTTCTTCTTTTTTAGATAGTTATCAATCGATCATTATATAAAATCTTAATTGAAAACGCTTATAATCCACAAAACCGGTCTGTTGATGAAATTGAAAAATATCTTGAAACATTAGTTACATCGTATGATACAGAATTAGAAGCTATAAGAAAACATACTAATGTAAAACAATTATTTTTTTAATCGAAATAAATTTTAAAAAAAGTTTATTTTTAGAGTTTACCGTCAAAACAAAATCGTCGTACTTCAATTATGTTCTAATCAATTATTTTTATAGAATAGCAACGACAATAACAACAACAAGTGCAAAACAAGATAGTTACTCATATATTCATTAAAACATTTTTTTCCTTGTACTTCTCTTTTTTTTTTCTCCTTGAATTGTAATCATTAATTTCACCTTGTACGGTTGACAGTCAATTATGATAATAAATGAAACGCTTCATCGAACAAGTCATGCTAAAAAAGAAGAAGGCTGCGCACTTTTTTTTTCTTCGGCAAATCGTCTCCATAAAATTTTCGATGTCATGATTTTCTTTTTTATGCTTTCTTTAATTAAACATCATTACAGATTCGACTCTGCAGTAGAGCAACATATTCTAATACTATGAGCTACGAAACAATTGATCGATCAGTCTATGGTAAAGATGTTTTTACTAATGGTGCCGAAGGTCGTTATGCTAAAGCTAAACCTGTATCAACAAATGGCACATCGGAAATTTCAATAAAAACAAGTGAAACAAAAAGACGAGCACCAAAAGTTACTTCATCAACTATAGATCATCCAATTGAAGAACCATTTGAAAACGGACATAGCGATGCAGTAGTTAAAACCAAAAAGAAAACTCGTAAAGTACATGAAGATGGTGAAACACAAAATGAGTATGAAACTTCTCAAATCGATTTAACTATTGATGATGAAGCTATTGTTAAACCAAAAAAGAAACGAGCACCAAAAATCGAATCGAATAATGAAAATGTCGATCCAATGCCAACAACAACACTAACAACAGAAGAATCTGTGAAAAAGAAAAAATCCAAAGCACCAAAAGCAACATTACTGGAAGAAGATTTTCAAACAATGGATAGTTCACCTATGAATGAATTAGAAGAACCGTCAACAGAAAAAAAAGTTAAAAAGACAAAAAAACATAAAACACATAAAACAAAAACAGAACCTACAGAGTCATTTGATGATATACCAATAAATGATTCAAATGAATATACTACTAATTCAGGTATGTATTTATTTAGAAATATGTATATATATATATATGTATGTTTATCAATTTTTACAACTAATTACGTTCACCACGAATTCGTCTAGCTAATTGAATATCTTTTGGCATAATCTATGCAAAAAACAAATAGACAGTCACTTTCTAAATCATTTTCTCGGCAAAAACGACACTTACAGTTACACGTTTCGCATGAATAGCACAAAGATTTGTATCTTCGAACAAGCCAACAAGATATGACTATAAAAATAAAACGCAATTAATAAAATTTTATTATAAATGTTTTAGTATTACTTCACAAGCTTCTTGTAAAGCTAAAACAGCCGATGTTTGGAAGCGTAAATCTGTTTTAAAATCTTGAGCTATTTCTCTAACTAAACGTTGAAATGGTAATTTTCTAATAAGTAATTCTGTTGATTTTTGATAACGTCGAATTTCTCGTAATGCAACTGTACCCGGACGAAATCTATGTGGTTTTTTAATTCCACCAGTTGCCGGTGCAGATTTACGTGCTGCTTTTGTAGCTAATTGTTTACGTGGTGCTTTTCCACCGGTTGATTTACGAGCTGTTTGTTTTGTACGTGCCATGATGAATTCAATATGGTATGATATGATATGATATAGTGATAGATATAGTTAAAAGAGAATAAAGAAAAGAAACATACATCGGATTGGAGGAATAAGTTATGTCTTTACTAACCAACGAGGATTTAGATTTGTGAAAGAAAAATGAAAGAAGTAAATTTTTTATTATTATAGAATTTAATGATGCATATAAATATGATAGTGCTTATGGTGCAACTGCTGGTGATACATCTTATGATGCACCACCACCATATTCAGGTGAAGGTGAAGAAACTACTGGTGAACCTATACAAAGTGATTATGAAACAGCAATAACAGATGCATATAGTAATTTAGCGGCAGCAGTGAATTTTGGGCAATATGTTAGTGATGATACCTGGGGTATTATGTATTTACCAAAATCAGCACGACATGAATCAAAATCACGTATACGAAAAATCTTACCAGGTGGTAAAGAGGATAAGTCAGATGGAAAATCATCAACAGGAAAAACAACAAATCAAAAAGGTGGATTTTTAAATCGTTTTCGTTCAGGTGTAAGTACACTTGTAAAAGATGAAAATAATTTACTATTTGGTGAACGTTCAAATTATGATGTACTTATGTATGACGAAGAAGACGAAGAAATTGATACAGATGATTTACATCGTTATGCACAAAAATTACGTGATTTAGAAGATAATGACAAAGAAATAAATCCTGAATATCTTGTTTTACGTGATGGTAAAACAGTTTATGCTGTACAAGAAACTGATGCTGATGGAAAAACGAAATTATCAACACGTAAACCAATTTATGATCGTTTTGTTGATCAAACACCTGATGATGAACCAATGGAAAAAAAGAAATTTTTCTCTCGTATAAAAAATACATTTTCTCGGAATAAAGATAAAGACAACAAAAGTATCGCTTCACCTAAATCATCTAATGGCACACCGGATGCTAATAGAAAACGAAGCACGAAGAAATCAAGCAGCAAATATACTGATGATGGCATGGCAACAACAGCAAATAGTGAACCGTTAATGAATTGAAAAATGACTTTGTATTATGCGTGTGAATGAGAGAAAAAGAAAACGCACATAACTTTTCCTTATTTCTTATTTTCTGTCTATGTGCGTGTTCTGTGAGAGTTTGCGTTCTTTATATAAATACATCTCTTGGCTTTTCCGAGAAGGAAAAAAAAAAGAAAAAATTCTTGCTTCTCTCGGTCGCGTTTACTTGTTGCGCTTGGCAAAAGCGTCAGAGTGAGTGGAACTAGAACCTAATTTTGTTCTTCCTCCATCTCGGCGGCTGCTTGTTGTTGTTTCTCGTACGTTCGATGATTAATAGGCCAAGTTTTCCTTCTTATTTTCTCCTACTACTATCATAATAATCAATAGTCTCGAGTTTTCTTATTGATTTCATCGCTCATCATAATGGTAAGATATGCACATTAACAAAGCTCAAATTCATGTATGAACATCCCTTGTTTTTTTTTCTCTTTAGGATGAGTTTTACTAAGCAAGAAAAAAGATATTTTTCATAATCTGTGAATAAATTTTAATAAAAAAAAAAAATAATAATAAATTATGGCAGTGAATTTACTTGGTAATTCAGATATTGATGCACGTATTATTCTTAATGTAGGTGGTACACGTTTTGAAACATTAAAATCAACATTAAAAAAATTACCAGCTACACGTTTATCAAAATTAACTGAACAACTATCATATTATGATCCAATATTAAATGAATATTTTTTTGATCGTCATCCAGGAGTTTTTTCTCAAATATTAAATTATTATCGTACAGGAAAATTACATTATCCAACAAATGTTTGTGGACCTTTATTTGAAGATGAATTATCATATTGGGGTTTACAACGTGAAGAAGTTGAACCATGTTGTTGGTATGTATTTTTATTTAAAATTATGATTTGAATATTATTTATTTTATTTAATTTTAGGATGACTTATACAAAACATCGTTCAACAGCTGAAACATTATCCATATTAGATAGTTTAGAATTAGATACTGTACGATCATCTAAACAAGAAGTACTTAAAAAATTTGGTTGGGATGATAATTATGATTATGTACAAGGTCATTTACCGAAATATAAAAAGATGATGATGATTATATGGCAAATATTTGAAGAACCACGATCTTCAACTATAGCTAAAGTTGTTACTGTGATTTCAATATTTTTTATTCTTGTTTCAATATTGTCCTTTGTTTTACAAACATTATCAATGTTTCGTATAACTGAAATCGATTTTGTTCATGTTTACGTTAATAAAACAGCAACAGATCGAACACCAACATTAAATCGACAACAAGTACATCCAACATTTGATATTGTTGAATGGATTTGTATGTTCATATTTAATCATATATTTTTAATTTTATTTTTACTTTAGGTAATTCATGGTTTATATTTGAAATAATTGTAAGATTTATAGTTAGTCCAAGTAAAAAAGAATTCTGCAAATCTATATTAAATATAATTGATTTTCTTGCAACATTTTGGTTTTACTTTACATGGGCATTAATAAAACTAAATGTTAATGATAATGAAGCACTTGATTTATTATCAACAATACGTATAATGCGTTTATTTAAATTATTTAATCATCATCCTGGTTTAAAAGTTATTATAACATCAATGAAATATTCATCATCTGTTTTATGGTTATTAATATTTTTTGTTTTAATTGCTGTTGCTGTATTTGCATCATTAATTTATTATGCTGAACGTATGACAAAAAATCCAAATGAAAATATGTTTACTTCAATACCTGACGCTTTATGGTTTAATATGATTACAATGTCAACAATAGGCTATGGTGATTATTATCCAAAAACCATGTTAGGAATGTTAATTGGTGCTGTTTCAACAGGTATAGATTTTCTTTTCTTTTTTTAAGATTAAAAACAAACATGACTTTATTGAATTTTCGTTCTTTATTTTTCTTTTAGTTGCTGGTGTATTGATTATTGATTTACCTATGCCAATTATTGTTGAAACGTTTGCAAATTTTTATACTCATCTTCGTGCACGTTCAAAATTACCGAAAACTCGGCGAAAAATTGGACCAGCTGAATCAACAGTTAAAAAGCGAACAGCAATATCAGCAATAGATAATGGACAAAATCTTAAATTACTTGGACCAACAGCAAAATCATCAATGTTTGGAAGTAAAACTATGGTGAATAATAATCTTATGTCATCAATGGCATAAGAAAAAAAAACAAAAACAGAAAAAAAAACTGAGAATATTTTATTTTTTATTTGTATGGTTTAGTCAAGTGCATAAGAGAAAAAAAAACGTTAATGAGCTAAGATGTTGTATCTAAGTTTGAACACCAGTAGTTTCCTAAAAACGCGAAAAAGAAAAATTTGTTTTTTAAGAGGTTTTTTTATTTAAAAAAAAATGTTTCAAACCTCTTCTTTTTCTTCGTCACCAATCCTTGAAGAGTTTTGTGATTGACGTCGATCAACAGGTGTTGCATGTGTTGGTGATGGTATTCGATTTTCTTCAGCTGGAGATATTGATATCCTTGGATTTTCTTCAGCTGAAGATTTTGATACCCTTGGATTTTCTTCAGCTGGAGATTTTGATGCCCTTGGAGTTTCTTCAGCTGGGGATTTTGATACTCTTGGATTTTCTTCAGATGCAGGTTTTGACACCTTTGGATTTTCTTCCGATGCAAGTTTTGATACTGTTACATTAGATGGTCCAGCAGTTTTTTTAATTGTTGGCTCTGCTTTTGCTGATGCACATGTACTACCCATTGTATGTCGTGATTTTTCGGAAGTTAAGATGAAGAAAAAGTTAAGCGTATGAAAAAACTATTTCAGATGAAACAAGTGACTGTGTCACAAAAAGTCAAACAAATGAAGAGAAAAAGAGTAACTATGTACTTTGCGACAAAGAATGCTGTCTCGCCTTCGTTTTATATCATTGCATAGAATTATCTTATATGAAGTGGTTACCTTATCTTCAACTTATATATATATATATATATATATATGAGTGTAGAGCAAACACTATCGTTATAAACAGATTTCGAATGTTAGATGTATTAAACGATAATAAAAGTCAAGATTGTTGAAGTATTCAAACAAATTCAAGTTGAAAAGTTTCTAAGAATAATTATTAAGGATCAAATTCCTTAAACATAAAAATATATAAAAATTTATCTCTATAAATTTACTTAATGAATATTATTACATCGATAGATGGTGTTATTATACAGTTGATTATGCTGCTTAATCATTCATTTGATTGAATCCTATCAAAAATATGTCAAAAAGAAACATTTCATTTATTTACTTACAAACTTCATTTTAATCTAAATCATTTCCTTGAATTTTTCGATGGAAATAGCTATTGATTGGACATAAATGATGAAAATAATTGAATATTCTATTTTTATCAATCAATTTTTTCTTTTTCATCGAATTATGACAAATAATTTTCGTATGAATATCATTATTTTTTACCTATATTTGATTAAAAACTATGACTAGTCGATTAGCTCGCGGGTAAATAAAATAAAACTTGAAGTACATCAATTTATTGCATCATCTTTTTTTATTAGTTTCTTTCATCGAGATTTATCTGTGTTAGATACCGAAAAACTTTTACAAGAAAAAAATATTCCCGGCAGTTTTCTTGTACGTCCATCACGTTCAAAAACTGATGCATATGTACTTTCGGTTCGGTATGAAATAAACGTTAAAAGAAAGAAAAAATGAATTGTTAATTCTATTTTGTTTTGTAAAGATTAGCAAATGATGAAATAACACATATACGTATTCAAAGAACCAATGAAGGATTTGAATTAGGTCAAAAACAAGAATGTTTTTCAACATTATATGATATGATTGATCATTATCGTCGAAATGCTGGAGAACTTATAGACAAAAATAATCAAGTTATTGAATTAACTACTCCAATATTAGCAAAAATGCCAACTTTTGAAAAGTAAAAAAACGAACATAAAAATTAGTTCCTTATTAATTTTTCTCTATTAATAATATTTTAGATATTATCATGGAGCAATATCACATCTTCAAGTTATGTCTATATTAAATAAATGTGAACAGAATGGTACATTTCTTGTTCGAGATTCTGAAACTACACCTGGTGATTATGTTATATGTGTAAAATCTTCTGATAATATAGCAAATATAAAAATTAAATATTCAAATGGTCGATGGTTTCTTGATGGTAAAGGTCGACAAGAACAAATTGATCATTTTAGATCATTAGATGATCTAATTCATTTTTATTTAAAACATAATATTCTTGTTGGAATGAATGGAGTTGCTTTTCGTCTTGTACAACCATGTACATCTAATTGGTTTTATGCTCGAGATATTCATCAACGTTGTGAATATTTATCAAAATTAACATCATCACAAAGAGGACAAAAAACTGGTTTTACTTTAGAATTTGAATTATTAAATCAACAAACTGAATCTCAATCATTAGCATATCATAAAAAACATGGAGAAAAACAAGAAAATAGAATTCGAAATCGATTTAAAAATATTTTACCATATGATGAAACACGAATTATTTTGAAAAATTATCCAATTACAGATTATATGAATGGAAATCATGTTCGAACACATTATGAAGGCATTGGAAGAGAATATATTGCTACACAAGGACCATTACCTGCAACAGTTAATGATTTTTGGCATATGGTACAACAAGAATTAGTTAAATGTATTGTGATGATAACACGAGAAGTAGAAGGCTTGAAGGTATTTAATTAAATACATACTATATTTAACGATATTTCATAATTTCCCTTGAGTATTTTATTATATGGATAGTTTTATCTTACTATTTTCTTGAGTTCTCCTAGGAAATATTTTGTTTTTATGCAATAGAACAAATGTGCACGATATTGGCCGGATTTACATACAACAAAACAATATGGTACAATAACAGTTGAAAATAAAAATGAAACAAATTATGGTCCACCACAAATATGGCATAAAACATCACGTGCATCTCGTGCACTTCCATCATCATCACAACAATTATTAAAAGATGATGATTGTTGTTTTCGTTTACGAAAATTAAGAATAACAACGGGAGATAGAAGAACATGGGACATTTTTCATTGGCAATATTTAGCATGGGGTGATCACGGTATGATAAATAATATTTCTTATTCATAAAATTGATTTTTTTTGTTTTTGCTTTTGTTTTTTGAAGATTCTCCTCTTACATCAAATCAACGTGATAATGATCAACTTGGCATACTCCTTGAATTTTTCGAACGAATTGCTCAAATAAATTCAATCGGTATGAATATGGATATGTCGCCGATGATTGTTCATTGTAGTGCTGGTATTGGTCGATCAGGTGCAACAATTGCAATTGATACAATATTTAATAAAATTCGTACTAATGGACTTGATATTGAAATAGATATTCCAAATTTAGTTAAACAGATTCGTTCACAAAGATCAGGTAATTTTGTTGTTCTTTTTTGTTTTCTTTAACAACAATAAAAAAAAATTTTATTTATTAAAATAAAATATCTTTTTAAAAGGTCTTGTTCAAACGGAACGACAATATGAATTAATCTATCGTATGATTGAATTTTTTGTCGAAAAATATCAATATTCAACGGACAATTTAAACAAACAATGATATCCGGTGACTTTCAAAATCATTCGAATAAGTTTATTTTTAATGTTTTTTCACTGACATATATATCCTATAAAAAATTTCCACAATATGATTGAAGTAAAAAATGTTATTTATCATAAGAATTTTGAAAGTTAAATATAATGACTAGTTTTTCTAGGATAGGATTTCGAAAGAGCTCAAAACGAAATTTTTCAAGCCCTAAAATTAACAATCACAATTCTATTTGAATTACTCAAAATTATATAACAAACAATTCTCTACAAAATGAAACGTCTTTCGACTCTATAAAATATTTTTTGATCAAGATACATTAGTCTTATGAGTGATATAAAAGTCGTCTTTTTTTTCCTGTTATTCTAGATTAGAACAATATAATCCCGACAGGACTGAGACAAAACACTTTTCATTAGGAGTGATATATTTGTTATGGTCATGTAAAACTTGAATTAATTGTCAAATTCTTTTGATTTGTGTTCTCTAAAAATTGATGCGAACATTATTGAATAAAGATCGTTTCAATATTTGCTGTTACAATTTTGATAGTAAAATTAATCCTTGTTGTTCTTAAACAACCACGAATTGTCGAACACATAAACATGCCGAATAGATGAAACATTAGTGAATTAAAAAAAGTAATGAGCCTTCAAGAGGGAAGATAGTAGAAGACATGCAAGATGCCTCATGCTTATTGACACAGTTAGAAGATGATATTGTATTTTTCACTAGTAGATATGTTACTAAGTGCGAAACCAAAACCAAACATGTTTTCTGACCAAGACCAAAAACGAGTGGTCCCGCGCATGACTAATTATTTGCTCTGTCATTTTTGGTAAATCAAATAGAAATATGATTGTAAATTCTAGGAGCTGAAAAACTTGATCTGGAATTTTTCAAAAACATATCATTCAGAAACTAGCGATTATTTTTCTTTTCAAAAATTTTTGTTGGAAATAAAATTCTTTTACTCAAATCATTATTTGGATTTTTCATAGCGTCTACGACAGTAGAAAAACATCGAAAATAAATCAAGTTGAACAATCGCGGAAGCTACTGTATTTACATATATTTTTTTTAATTTTTTAATTTATTTATTATTAGTTTTTTTTTTTTTGGTAAATATTGTTCTGCGTAAACAGGTGTAGTCAGATTAGTTCTTCATATGAACGTTTCTAAACTTTATAGTGACGTTTAACTAATCAATATCAATCGTGGTTTCTTGTGCAATTCATTTGTCTTTCGTCTTTTTTTGTAATTGTAGCTATTTATTTATTTATTTTTCATTCTAGATGCTACAATTGGTGTTAAACGAAATACACTTTTTGATGAACTTGGTCAAAAATTTAGTGAGCTTTATTTTTAAATTTAATAGTAAAGATGAACAAGTAGAATTTCTTTTTTAGCTGATGAAGAATTTGATCAATTATGTTTTGATTATGGATTAGAATTGAATGATATTGTAAGTATTGATGAAATAAAATTTTTATTCTTGAATATATTGTAAATTTTAAAATCTATGTGATAGATCAAAATTTCAAGGTATTCTAGATCTATTGACAAAACTTCAGATCAAATCACTGCAGTTCTTTTTTTTTCGAACAAATGCTGCTAAAGAAAAACAAATCATTAAAATTATCATAACTTAGAAAAACTGTTCATGGGTTGGAGTTATTGCAGAATCGTTTCAGAGTTGTAACCAGTCGACCACTTTCGATTTGAAAAAATTTTATAGATATTTCATTTTTCTCTCATAAAAAATGTCGAGAGTAAGTTTAGCTGTTCTTATCAAAGTACTCACACAGTTTTATTTCTATCAATATCAATTTTATGTTCTTGTGTCCTTCAAAATGTTTTGTTTCTTTAACCGAAATAAGTTTCATTGTGAAAAAAAAACAATAATCAAAATAGTGTTTAGAGATTATCATTTAGGTTTAGATCGTCGTTTCGAAGAGAATCGTTTGAATTTTCTTCAAAATCTGATGAGGAAACTACTCGAACTGATATCAATCGTTTGAGCACATTTTACGCCTACAAGAGCACGTTGGTCAGACTAGCAAAAATTAGAAAGAGTTCGTCTTCATCGGTCTTTGAAGTCGAGTTATGGACGTTGTACTGGCGTTCCGATCCGGTTTTAAGTGTTTACCGGAAAGTCAAATAAAGAAAACTTGACTCGAAATTTTGTTCATGAATAGTTTGAATGATCAGAGAATATTCCGAAAGTTTCAGTCGAAAAGTATTAACACTGGCTATATAGTTTATTAAAGAATCAAGACGTATAGATCCAACAACAATAAGAAGAAGAAGGAAAAAAGGAAGACAAAGAAAAAAAAGATAAGGAGAATGTGTGTATTTATATGTGTTGGTATATGAACTTATAGAATCACGCTATATTTTGAATAATTGCACATATAACAATGATCACGCCATAGATTGAATAAAAAGATAATTGGAAGATGATCACACGACATAAAAGACAGAGCATAATGTGATTAAGATGACGAAACGACAACAGGGCCATTGAGGATTACCTCAATAACAATAAAAAAAAATGTTCGTTTATCGAAATATTGAATTTTCAAGTCAACTCTCTTTTTTGTGGAATTTCTCTAGCAAATGATTATTTTCTCAAAATTCAATATCTCGATAAAAGAACAGTCTTTTCAACTGAAACTTTCATAATATTTTACTAGTCATTCGACCTATTCGTGGACAAAATTTTAGGTCAAAGTTCCTTTATTCGACTTTTCGGTAAATACCTAAAACTGAATGGAAAATTCAGTGAAACAGTAATGACTCGGCTCCGAAGGTCCATGAGGATGAATCCTATTAGACTGTTTCTAGTCTCAGTAACGCACTCTTGTAGGCGCAATATCAACTCAAACGGTAGATATCAGTTTGGATAGCTTTGTGGTCAGTGAAAAAAATTGAAGGTTTAGAATTTAGAAATCAGCTATTGGGCAAATTACTCTTTTTTTTCATGCTATGCAAAGAGCCATGACATATTCATCTTTGAGAAACCTAACAAATATAAACGCCTATAAGATGATGTTTTCTCTGTTGGAAACTTGTGGGACCAGTTACAATTCTAAATCGTTCTAGTCTCTATGTTGTTCATTTATAATAGAAATATGGACTCGAAAAGCGCAGACGATTTGCTTGTCTTTAAAGTACATGAATTCGAAATAGCTAAAATAAAAATCTTGTATATTGATGTTGAGCTGAAATATAATAATACTTTTAATTCATTTAGGAACCATTACCTGACAGTAATGGTAACGATGTGGAATATAAAATTGAAATTCCAGCAAATCGGTATGTTTTATGAATATGTTATTTAGTTTTTAAAATAAATTTAATATTTAGTTATGATATTCTTTATTTGGAACGTTTAAGTCTAGCATTAAAAATCTTCTTATAAAAGTAGAATTCTTTTATTGATGAAAATTTCATTTTTTCATATATATATTAGAGCTGAAATACCAAAATTTTCGTTATCTACCTTAGATAAAGATGAAAAATTAATTCGAATGAAAATTTTACCTAATGTAAATTTATTTTGAAATTTTTCTATTAGACTCAACGTATTCGTCCAATCGTAGTTTGTGCTGTTCTACGCAATATTAAATTTAATTCTGCAAGTTATAATAGTTTTATAAAATTACAAGAAAAACTTCATTTAAATTTATGTCGAAATCGAACATTAGTTGCTATTGGCACACATGATCTCAATACAATTCAATCATCATTTATTTATAATGCTCGAGAACCAAAACAAATTAAATTTCATTCATTAAATCAAGAAAAAAAGAAATGCAAGCCAATAAAATGATGGAATTTTATTTAGTTTAGTTTATCTTAATAAAAAAAAAAGAAATTCTTTAAATAATTTTTATTTGTTTAAAAACATACACATCTTAAATGTTACGTAACAATTATTCAAGATTCTGATGTTTATCCAGTTATTTATGATTCAAACAATATTGCTCTGTCTCTTCTACCTCTTATTAATAGTAATTTATTAATAAGAAGGTTTTTAAATATATATTTATTCAATTATTTATGTGATCATAGTAAAATAAATGTGAATATAAAAAATGTTTTTATTGAATGTACTGCAACAGATGTACATAAAGCAAAATATCGTACTTAACATAATGCTAAATATGTTTGCTCAATATTGTGATAAACCATTTGAGTAAATTTTTAAAGTTTAGTTTTGAAAAAACAATTAATTTAAATCGATTTTTATATAGAATTGAACCGGTGAAAGTCGAACAAGTGTATGGAACACTAAAAATATATCCTGTATGTCAAATATAGAGTGTGGTCTAAACACTAATCTCTAGAGCTGTCCCTCGTCTCCCTACAGTCTGCCCCGTCCACTTAAAAATCAATCTAGAGCTACATACACTCAAATCGTATGAAGTTTTCTGAATATGTAAGGGTTGTTGTGAAGAGACTATGGTAAAATTTTCAGTCCTATACCATGACGTTTTCATGAGATATTTAACAAAACAAACGTTAAATATAGCTCATTTGACAATCTATAAAGCTTCATGATACATACTTAATTTTTTTTTGTTTCAAAGAGCATAGCAAGATGCAAATCATCACAGAGACCTTTTTTATTCAAATTCTTATTTGTCAAACAAAGTAAAGGTCAATCTCTTGAAAAACAGCGCTCTAATTATAATTCAAAAAAGAGACTCTGTCATGTCCTACATCTTCACATGTTCTTTCAAATAAAAAAGAAGCCATTAACTATGATGAAGCTTTTTCGAACTGTTGCAAGCAGAAACTGACGGAAATTTTTAGGAAAAATTGAGGTATAAAATAAGAAATCATGTCATTTATGCATGACCAGATTTCAGACTATCTTCCCATACATTTACCTCAATATTCATGTTTTCAACGGAAATTGACTTTTTTTGAGGGGGCATAGCAAATACATATAACTCTCCATGTGATTCAAATCGGTCAAAATCCATCTGCATAATGTGTGATATACTGTTGGTAGTTTGATACTTAAACAGTCAGCTATCTTCTGACCGTCATTCTACCTTGGTATACTGATAATTGCAACATGGGTCCGGTATTGATCAACCTTACCTTGCCGATGCCATAAACAGTATACACTGTTTTGTTTCGCGATTTTTACTGGAACTTGAGATTATGTAAATCTTTGATTATTGCTTCCAGAAGTTTAAATGATCTGAAATTCATAATACCGGTAGAAATTTGATTAGATATTGGAAAAAAAACGGCGCATATTGTTTTTGGTATAAAAAAAATCTAATTTATGAATTGTCGTCGAACGTGAAACTTTTTCTATACTGTTGATGAACTTTTTGAATATGATTCATCAGTAGCAGAGCTATCTATATTTTATTCGATCATATTTTAGAATTTAAGCGATCGTTCTCAAAATGTATCTGTAAAAAAGATGAATCAACGTATTGGAATAGAATATATTGAAATATTTAAAATAAATTAAGCTAAAAAAATAAATATAACTTACTTTTTTTTAGAGTTGATGCTCAAACGGCAGCAAAACTTTTAAATCGAATGAGCCTTCGAGCGAAAGTTCTTAATTCAGATACACTTTATGTTGATATACCAGTAACTAGAGCAGATATTTTACATTTTTGTGATATAGGAGAAGATTTTGCAGTAGCATATGGATATAATAATATACAAAAAACATTTCCAAAAACTAGTTGTATTAGAAATCAAGTAAGAAGAAAAGAAAATTATTTTGTTTGTTTTCAAAATGGTTTTTGTTTCTATTGTTATAGTTTGAATTAATTGACTATCAGATCTAATACGACATTCGGTTGCTGAATGTGATTTTACAGAATCATTGACATTTACACTATGTTCATGTTCAGATGTAGCTGAGAAATTTTCAAAAAAATATCCAAGATATTTCTGCAGTACATATTGCAAATCCAAAAACACAAGATTTTCAAGTAAGATTTTCCAAAAAAGATTTAGATTGCAACTTTTAGATTAAAAGAATAAACTAAGATCTTCTTCAGTCATCAACATTAGGCTTATTTATTTATTATCAGCATATACACTTACGATCAAAACTGATCATGCGTTAGACATCAGTAGGGCCAGTCGTTTTTGGTGGAACCGAAACCATCTTGTCCCTATCTATTTAGAACATATAAGTCGTGACTATCTCAGATTAAGCAATACGAGTCGTTCCCGTCCGAAAAACTCAGAAAAAATTATAGAAACTTGAAAGCAGAAACTCGGTGATCGGATCCAATGACGACTGAAAATAGAAAAATCCAACCACTGAACCCGATTGCTACACTCCTGCTTTCAAATATCTACCATTTTTCCGAGTTCTTCGACCAGAAACGACATTTTTCCAGCAGGAATCTGCCAGAAATACACGGACTAGGGCGTCAGAATCGTTGACATGGAATATGATAGTAGATGTAAGGTTTACACAATCATAAAAAGCATTGTTTTCAATGAAAAAGTATTGATCCTGATTCCACCAAGGCTGGGGCCATCTTGTCAATATGTATCATATACCTAGCCAATGCCCTGGTTTTTGTAATATTTCAAGATAGTATACATTTTGTCATTCAACAAGGTTCAATACGATACTTTCAATAGTACAAGGTCCCTCTATTTTTTGCATGCAGCATACGATTAATTTTAAACAAATTCAAAATACATCATTTTTGGTATGTCTGGTTTAGCACAACAAATATACATTATAGAGACCTGCTATTTTTAGCAAATGAACTATGAAAATGGCACTACAGTTTGACGCAAACTGCAAGTCAAGATGTTGTAACTATCTTGAGATATTAGAAAAACAAGAGCATCAGTTAAGTTTATGATCAATTTTGAGTGTCATTGTATATGATTTAGAGGTATTTATATAAAATTTTTCTTTATTTTGTACATTGTTCACTCATGTGTAAATGTAATATGAAGAGAAAACAGCAGACTTCAAAATCGACATCTCTGTTGTTGTTTTTCATCAATGTAACAAAATAAAGAATTTCGATTTTCTTTGCAATAGCATATTAATTCAAAAATTCAACGATTAATTTTAGATTGGTCGAACATTACTTTTACGAGATTTATTAAAAACCATTGCAAGTAATCAAGGTACTGCATTAACAATTCAACTTTTTGAAGTATCTCATGTTCTTCTTAAAGATTGATCACAAGGTTTGTTTTACTTTATAAAACAAAAAACAAAAAGAAATTGTTTATTTCTTTTTTTGTTTTGATTAATAGAAACTGATAGTCCAAATGAATCACGTTTATGTGCAATATATTATAATCGTACACCCGGCTTTGAAATAATTCATGGTTTACTCGATCGAATAATGACATTAGTTAAAGTTTCATATAATGAAAATAAAACAAATGATATAAGTTATCATTTAAATAATCAGTGTGAAGGTATAATAAAAAAGAAAAAAGGACAAGAAAAAAAATATGATGAAATTGAACTTTGATTTTTCTAGATAGTACATTTTTTCCTAGTCGACATGCGGAAATAATTGTACGTGAAAAAAATTTCGGTGTTATTGGTGTTCTTCATCCAAATGTTATTGAACATTCTGCGTTAAAATTACCTTGTTCTATTCTTGAATTAAACATTGAACCATTTGTTTAAACAAGACACACGAAAAACTTTTAATGTTAATCCATTTAATCAACATTTTCTTTATTGTGTACGAAGTTTTATTTAAACAAGAAAAAAAGAAAGAAATTAGCATAACCTTATAAGAAATCTTGAAAACTTCTTATGAACAATTATTAAAATAAAGAAATCATTAATAAACTAATAATAATAATAACTTTGTTGTTATATTTTTCAATAAATGTTTTGTAACAAAAAAAAATACCTAACATGCAACCAAAACAAAATATGTTGTTAATGGTAATTGAAATAGTTACATTTTTTATTTTGGAAGAAATGAAAAAAAAAGAATAAAGATGTATTGTATTCAAAACAACACTTATCGAAGGTGCAGAAGTGACTGAAACATCAAGTAACAAAGAAATATTAAAATGTCGAAACAACAACAACAACAAAATCAAACACGAGTAGCTCGGACATTTGATTTTTGGGGAGGAAGACCACTTAAAAGAACGTCTTCTGATCTCTTTTTTGATCGACCTCGACCAACTAATACAATATTTTCAGGTAGAATAATTTTAGCATTTTCGTTAGTTTAATCCATAAATTTACAGGTCCTAATGCTTTATGGGATCAACGTTATCAATCACGAGAACTTATTGGAGATATTGGTGAAGGTCAAGCATCGACTCTTCGTTCACTTGATCTCGGTTATTTAACACGGTAATAAGTTTTTAAAGAATTTTTTTTTATTTTCTTTTTTTTCTTCTTTTGTTTGAATTAAAGAGGATACGCTATAGATCCACCACTACGTCGTGCTGCATATCCTGGTGAAATCGGTTGGACAGCAACGTATTTTCAACGACATTTCAAACCAACAAAACCGTACACTACATGGTACACTTGAGAGTCTTTCTTTGGAACAAGAAACAATTTTTTTTTGCATTATTTTACATATTTAAACAAATAAAATTGCAAAGATTTGTAACGAATTTCTATGAAATAATATTTAGAAACTATTTTTAATGTAAATCAAAGATTTACATAGAAATACCAACAGTATTTTTCTAGCGTGAGTGCCGAGAGGGCGGCACTCCTCCAAACATCGGGTTGACCCTTCAAGAATTTGTAACTATTAATGCTATTTACTATGTGTCTGTACTCTCAAAAATATGTATCCACTCCTTCCCGAGGTTTAAACTGTCTCTACGGAAGAGAAAATCTAGTTAAAACACAGTCACTGATTCTGGTAACTTTAGTTTTTTGGGCGTTGGTCTAAAGAAAACTATTGCAAAATTCATTTGTATCACATCTAAACAATTCCTCAATACTCGTTTTTGATCTATTTAGCCAATGACTAGCACTTCTCTTGAATTATGTTCTGATTTATATGATTTATAATATAATTTGCTTAAAACCATTGATTATTTTGTTATAAACTTGATTTCCGATTGCAGTAGATTCTTTTCTCGTGGTTCCAGTCCCGCACATCTGAAATTACAACGATCATTTCTCTCCATTAAAGTCCGTGATGTCAATGGCAATCGACAGAACCATCATTTTTCCGTTCCGATCATTTTTTTTCTGATTTTAATGAAATATGAATACCCTGACAAAAGTTTGTAAGATTAGCTTATTGCTACAGAGATGTTGCATTTTGACGGCATTGTTCGAAGTCAATGATGTATTCTTCCTCAGGAACATTTTGATTTACAAATTTGCATGGAGACAGATCTTAATGATAATAATTTATTCTGACAGTTTCAAGTTCTTTAATTTGCTCTCTTCCTGAAACAAGAAAATGAAATCTGTTCATGTATATGAATAGTGCAACAGACAAGGTTCTGTCATAGCTGTATCTTAGGATAGAAACAAAGAAATCACCTGAAACTTTCACAAAAACCTATTTTTATTAAGTTGTGTTTCTATGGAAAGTTTAAAATCGAAGCGTTCCTGACGGGGGACCACGGTATTGACTTAAAAAGTATCGTAAAATGCAATATTTCGCCAGCAATAAGTTAAAGATTCGATCTCGTGTCGGGATAATCATAGCTCATTACAGTCTGCATGATATACGTAATCCCGACTGAAAAGTAATTAATCAGTTAGGAAACCTCCTTTGCAAGACTCAGAAGTTTTTTTTTCAAATTCGTACAGTTCCTTAAATACATTATAAATCAACTTCGATAATTTGAATTTAACAATAACGTGATCAGTCCCTTGTCTACAAGCATTAGAATAAAAGATTAGAAAAAAATGAACTAGAAATTTTGTTAAAAGTTTTCACTTGAACGATCTCTAATTAAAATGAATTTAATTTTCAACTTCAAACCCAATGATACAGGTAAAGTCTCCCAAGTACATCGTCTCATCAGTCAGAATGACCCCAAATGCCGCAATAGCAATAGCCAATGATCAAGCTGATAGGATATGATGAATATAATTGTGACTTAAAACTCACATTGCCAATAGAATATCGAAGATTGTAAACTTACAAACATTATTAAATGCATAGACGTAACAGAGAAGAACATTTTTATTAAAAAATATTTTAATCAAAAGAATGAATAATAGCGCCATCTTTTAAATAAAAATCTTTAATAGGTAGTTAATATTGTCGAACAAAAAATTGATCGATTGATTGTAATAGTTATCCATCCATCCTATATGTAGACTCGAGAACAATTGATTTGATGATGAACAATTGGGCTCAAAGCCGAAATGTTTCATCAGAAGATCAAAGTGAATCATCAAATAAATCAACATCATCACATAAAAAACGTCAACAATTATCAACATTATTTAATAAAACAGCTGATGTTGATGATCCACCATTTAGTCGACTTTTTCTATTAATACCAAAAGCTATGTCAGAAGATGAATTACGAAATGCATTTGAAATTCATGGTAATATTCAAGATATTCATATGGTACGAGATCGACGTAGTCAAGAAAGCAAAGGTTTATATAAAAAATTTCAAATATTATTTATTTAGATTAATTTATTTCTATAAGGTATTGCATATATTAAATATGAAAAAGCTTCAGCAGCAGCTCGTGCTATGGAAGAAATGAATGGAACAATTATTGCTCCACATACTCGTCCATTAAAAGTCGGTGATTTCTTTTTTTGTATTGAGCATATTTTATTATATTTTTTATATACTAACTAGGCTATTATATCAAGTTCACGTCGTGAAGGTAGTGTACGTGATCCAGATGAACATGAAAAAATGTTACGTTTATTTGTTGTTATACCAAAACATACAACAAAAGATGATTTACGTAAAGTTTTTCATGTAATTATTAATTTAAAGTTTAAGATTAGAATGACAATAATATTTTGCATTTTAAATTTAGAAATATGGTTCAATAATAAATATTAAAGTTATTAAAGATAAATTAACAGGTGAAAATAAAGGTTTTGCTTATATATCATTTTCAAAAGCATCTGAAGCAGCTTATGCACTTGAACAATGTGATTCAAGTAGGTTAAGAAAGATGAAAACATTTAAAATTATTTATTATTATGAAATAATATTAAAGGTTATAAACCAAAATTTGCTGAACCATTTTCATCAAAACGTCATCATGATAATGAAGATACACTACCATCATCAGCTTCAATTTATGGAGCTATTTCACCTCCGTATCGTCAAAAAATGTCAACAAGTAAACAACATTTATCACCATCATCAATTTCAAATGATCATCGACCATCACCACCTCCGTTACTTCCATTACCATCAACACGTTCATTATCTAATATTGAATCAAGTTTGTTTATTACTTTTTTTTTTCTATTCGATTAAATTTAACTTTCATTCTTTTGTATTTTTCTTTAGATCAATCATTAACACTTTCACCAGTGAATAATAGTTATCATTTACTAGAGATTAATAATGAACGTCGTTTAATTGTTCGTTGTGGAATGACAATAACTGTATATCATATATCTAAATTATTTGATCTTATACCAAATATGGAAGAATGCTCACCACTTAATATAAACACATTTAATGAACGTAAGTTATGAATAAAGATAATTAATATTTATCTCTTTTGTAAAATAAATTAACGAAGTGAGAATGTATCACGAGAAAAATCCTCCAACCATGTACTGTTATTTATTGTTCTTCACCTTTACACGACTCAGTGGTTAATAAATTACAAGTTTTCGTTGTGGGGAAAAGAGTGTTGTATTAACAAAAAGAAAAAGAAGAAATTGAACTGTTAAGGTACTAATTCACTATCGAAATGTATTCTTAGTAGAGCCCTGCAGGATGCAGGTAACCTGCCCTGCCCTGCCCTGCCCTGACAGGGCAGGACAGGGCAGGCTGCGAAAATAGCAGGGCAGGGCAGGGCCAGGTTATGAAATTTTTACAGGGTAGGTTACAGGTTGTCCATATCGTAACCTGTTAACCTGAGATTAATTTTGAACAACCGACATTTCCGGTATCTTTTAAAAAAATTAGGTATGNTGATAGTTAACTCTATCGGAAAGAACATGAACAAAAAAAAAAAAAGAAGTCCTCCAAGCCTTCCATCTTATGAGAAATTTAAATACGCAGAAACTACTTCTCGTTTTCTTTCTTAAATTTAAATATATTGATACTGAAAACACATTCTTTCAAATATTAAGCGAAAACCGTTTTAGAGATTAGGTATTATTTTCTTTTTACCAAGTTAGATAAAATATGTTTTAATTTATTTGATAGAAAAGACAAAAAAAAAATGTTTCTCTTTTCCTGCTTGTATTATGACACGCAACGCATATTTCCATACTTCATAAACATTTTAATATATATGAGCTAGATTAATATCTTTACATAGATAAATACTTAAAATAATGGTATTGACAAAACGTAGTTGGACTTTACCATTAATCTGTCAAATTTGTGGTGACAAAGCACGTGGAATGAATTTTGAAGTAATGACATGTATGTCATGTAAAGCTTTTTTTCGGCGTCATGCATTACAACCGATAGTAAGTTTTATACAAAAATTTAAAAAATTTAAAAAATATAAAATTTTTCTCGTTTTTGTTTTCACTTAGTATTTTCTTCAATGTCAACATGGCAATAATTGTGAAATTTCACAATTAACACGTGGTAATTGTTCAGCTTGTCGCCTAAGAAAATGTTTTTCTTTTGGTATGAATCCAAAATTAATACGATGTAAATCGAAAAATCATAATCGATTATTAAAAAATAAAAATAATCGATTACCACAGGTTTTCTTTTTTCTTAAATTTTTATTTTTATCAATTAAATATTAATTATACTTCTAGCCATCACCACTGAATCTTCTTCAAAGTGATACTTCAACCTTAACAAATATTGAATGGGATCTTTTATCTAACATAATTCATGCGTATGATCGAGGAAATTCAATTGAACATGCCAAATCTTTGTTGGAACGGCAAGCATCATTACCGCCAAAACTTCGTTCAAAACCAAAATCAACATTAGACATAATCGGATATTTTTATTCCACAATGCAATCATTCCTTGAACGTGTACCTTATTTTTGTGATTTATCAACAGATGCACGTCGCACTCTTATTCAACATAATTCTTGTACCGTAGGAACATATAATTCACTAATTGTTGTTCGCGCAGCAAACGGATTTGATTATTCAAGTTATATTGTTGGTTGTCAGACTCTTTATGGTTATGAAAATTATCTGTTGTCAAAAAAATTTACTTCAACATTAGAACCAAATGAAACGTTTGTTAAAATAATGCTTTTAATTGCTGCCTTTTCTGAAAATTGCTCAATAGTTTCATTAGATTATACAGAAAGTATGGCAACAATGACCAGTACAATGTCTTTAGTTCGTATACAAAATATATTGGTAACGATGCTTTGGAAATATTTAACTTATCAATATGGATTTTTAGGAGCTGTTAAATGTTTTAATTCTTTTATTAAATATGTTTTAAATATAATTCGATGGACTGCAACAAATCCTAGTACCCAACATTCCGATATGGTCGATACACTTGTTGAAAATGCCACACGATTATTAATAACGGATGATTAAATAATTTGACAAATGTCTATGAATCTCATTTTATTGACTAGTGATATATTTTCTGATAAAAATTAAAGAAAATGTATTCCAAATTACTATTTTATGTAAATTAATCTTTATTTGTGGTTTCTTAAATATATATATATGTATTTTTTTGTTATTATTTCTACGCTGGTATAATGGAAAAAATTAAACAAAATATTTAGAATCAGTCTACTCAAAAACCGTGTCAAACTGATGAAACTTTTTTTTTGCTTTGTTTCAAGTATTTTTTGGTTTTAAAGAAATAAATCTATTTACTTTCTCTATAAAAAATAACTATAATATTTCATATTTTGATGACTAAAGTAATTTTAATATATATCCTATTAAGAAATGATTTTAAAATTATTAACACAAAAGTTAAATAGGAATAAAAATATTAATAACTTTGAGAAATTTGAAAAAGAATTCGACCTAGATTCATCATAGAATGTTTTCCATACAAACAAGTGCAATAGATCAAAGAAACGTAAGACATTGACGTGGGCATTTTGACATTTACCCCTGAGGATATGCATTAGCAATACTAATGACTTGACGGATTGAATTCGAAGAAAAAAAAAGTTTTTTTTCTTATATTCTATATAAATGGAAAAATAAAGTATACTTTTATAATAAGCTTGATAATGATGAAAATATCGTCTAAGAAATGGAAAAAGATCATTTGACTTCAGCAAAACTAATTTATATAATCAGCCAATAATCAAATTCATCATCATACTCTATAACATTTATTCATGCAAAATAAGTTTGTTTTTAAACAATATCTCATATATAATTCTTTTTGATTAAAAATCAGAGTAGAATGCTAAATGAAGTTTTTTTAAATTTGATAATATTTAACATTTCGCTATAGATATAATCGCAATATTATTTCATGTAATTATTTATCAATAGAAATCATAATTAAGAAAATCATGATAAATGACTTGGGATGATTTTCCATTTTAGATAGAATTTTATTGAAACTCTAGAATTTTTTTTTATCATTAGTTGAGTAATGTGCTAACAAGTTACTAAGTTTATTTTTCTGCATTATAATTCGTTTATATGAATACTTTAAAAAAAGACATAAGAAGAAAAAAGTGCATGCTGTCATCAAAGTTAGTTGAGTATTCCTCCTGTGACTTTTTTCATTAATGTTCTACGTCATAACAACCTTCTCATTAGTTTGAGAAAGTCTTGTTTGCTGCATTTGTCTCCTTAGTCTATTCTTCCGTAAACTTAATGTTTCATTTATCTTCTTTCTTTTTTTTACATTTCTTAACGCGTGACGACAAAGAATCCAAGATTATCTTGACATCGAATGAATTACTAGTCATTTCATTCTTTTTTTTTTGAAGAACTTTCATAATTTTACGGATTGTCAATCTCTTCTAAAAAAGTTGATGAATGGAAGAAATTAAATTGATCTTGGTTGAAGAAAAAACCTGATTACTTGAATATATTTTATTTAACATATAAAAGCTGAAAACAATTCAAACAACTTCAACGCTTGTAAACTATAACAAAAGCAAGAACAAACAATATGATTTTCTTTGATACAGTTTAAAATCTAATTTTCTGAGCATGATATACTCAGTTGTCTTATGATTGATAGAGTCATTCTTTTTCAACTATTTCTTATGTGCTTAAGATTTTATTGCCATTGACATGAAAATCTTTATGTCTATATCAACATATGTCGTCAGAGAGATCAATAGTGAAATAAATGTATGGAAATATAGTCTGATATCTTATCTTTCATACGTAACATGATTTTTTTATTTGGCATCTCTTTATTTCGCAAAGTTTTTACTGATTTCTGTCACTTTCTGCTTGAGAAATATGTTTTTTCAGAAAAAAGTGGGAAATTATTTTCACTTTTTCTCTGTTTATACGTTTTTGATTCCACAACGCAGAATTCTCTACGGACCTTCATTCAATATATTTAATTCATTGTATTTGAAAGAGCATGTGAAGTTGCAGTGCCTAGCAGAGCCAGATCTTTTTTTAAGTGAACTTTTTATAATTAAATTGAAAAGCACTTCTACAAACATATAAACACTTTTTTGAGAGCTTTTCGAATTATTGAACTTGTCATTGCTTTTTCTTCACATGATAAGTAAGAATTTAATTAAAGAAAAAGGCTCCATCATGCCATACACTCTGGCATGCTCTTTCAAGCCAAAAAAAATTAAGTATTTTAAGTGAAGATTCACAGAGAATATCGGGTTGCGAACCCATGGAATAAGAACGTGAAAAAGATTTCATTTAAATGATTATTTACAGAATTTTCATCAAAACCTTTTCATGAATTTCATTTTTCCAAAAAAATCAAAATCATCACATTACTTTCATCATTTTCATCCTCTGACCTTGATTATTTGTAAAACATCAAAATCACAACATTAGTTTCATTACTTTTGCATCACTTCATTGTATGCCTTTCAATTTTTAACAGAAATCAAAGTTATCCAATTAGCTTCATTCTAATTTTCTTTAAATCACTAAACTTTTATAAGGTTCTAGGTGAGTTGACTTCCATTTTTTTTTTTGAATGAAAATTACTTTGATCGATGACTTAATGTAACATATGTGATGAAACACCACTTTTTTTTCAAACACATGGTGAAAAGTGATTAATTTAAGTTTATCTATATATTTGTCTTGATGAGTACGATTTGACAAAAATGAAATGTGTAAGGAAAGGTGGATATCGTGCTCTGCTCTTCGTAGCATAGATTGCTAAATTTAATACTCTAAATACTTGCCACTTTATAGTGGGTATAGAGTAAATTGAACTTTCAAAAGCTCACTGCACAGCTATATAAGAGAAGGAACCTGAAGTTTGTGAAAAGTTCAGATAACTTAACCAATCGGGAATTGAACGATTTGTCGCAATGATATAATTCAATCATAACTTATATCTTTTTACAAAATGAAACGGCTTATTCAGTTAAATTTCAAACATTTAA